ATAACCGCCTCCCCACCCGCCTTCCTGTCCTCCACGTCAGAAGGTTAGCGTTCTCTCTCTTCGTACTGTATTTTGTTTCATATTTTTGCGGTTTAAAAAAAAAAAAACATGGTTCAGAACGGGTTAACCGTAATTACATTGAACCTTATGGGGAAATTTGATTCAGGACACGACCAAAAATCGGGTTGCGACCAAATTCGGAGGGGTCAGAACGGATTAACCGTATTTACATTGAACCTTATGGGGAAATTTGATTCAGGACACGACCAAAAATCGGGTTGCGACCAAATTCGGAGGGGTCAGAACGGATTAACCGTATTTACATTGAACCTTATGGGGAAATTTGATTCAGGACACGACCAAAAATCGGGTTGCGACCAAATTCGGAGGGGTCAGAACGGATTAACCGTATTTACATTGAACCTTATGGGGAAATTTGATTCAGGTCGCGACCAATTCGGGTCGCAACAGAGTCGCGGAACGAATTAAGTTCGTGAACCGAGGTACCACTGTATTCAGCAGCATTCAATTTTGATGTAAATATACACTTCTTATATTGAATGTGTTTAGCTATGATTTAAAAAAACGTTAAAGATTCATGCACCTAAGTATGAAAACATGTAAAGTGTTTTCTGAGGAGAAAACCAAAGAAAGACGGCATGGGGGATAGCCAGCTGACAAGAGAGGGTATAGTAGCCTTCCCTGATCTGGTGCCCTCCACAAGGACTGAACTTATAAACAGAGCCTGCAAAACACCTTAGACAAAATTATGGTTGGCTACTTTGTGGCTCAATGTATCATATAAATCCAGCCGCTTAATTCAGATAACCATAGTTAAGTAAACCATGAGTTAGCAGAGCCAGAGTAGTGAGCTAAACAGAAGCAGGCAATCAGTGGTTTACAGCCACCTATGGCTCCTTTCACTGTAACTTACCCTTACTATGTTGTGTCCCACGCTGTGAGGAAAATGAACAGCTGCACATACAAGCTTGGAGGGCACCCATGGAACACAGTGGCCTTAATATGTAGCTGCCCTACAATGTGGTCAGTCTCACAGGTGCACATGACTGCCTAGTCATTACCAAGCAAGGGATGTTTTCAAACTTTCTTCTACTATGACTTGCAAATGGATTTAAGTATGCACTAAGTTCCAGGTGCATATTTCACTCCTAGACATTATACACTTCCCAGTAAATATGATTCAGGTCTGGATCATAATAATTAACCCTTAATTGAATATAGCATTATATATATATATATATACACACACACACACACAGTATTACATGCAGTACTTACTAACATCCTACCAGATATTTTTAGCAATTGTCCCTCATTTTACTATTTTTTTAAAAAATGTGTTATTTTTAGTATATATTTCATTACTTAATCTCTCCGTTGATGTCTTTCTATGATAAACTACAGGATGTAGTTGCCTGATGACTAAAGAGAGGATTACATTTTTTTCCTCTCAGAATGGACAGGCACTCAGTAATTTTTCCTGTCCCACATCACACAAAGATCAGGTATGCCTAATATGGAGTTGAACTCCCAATTCCATGCTAGCTGAGGATGCTGAGAGCTGGACTCCAACAGGACAGAAGCAACAGCTAGCTCAACCTTATCTGTTCTACCCAGCCGGTTAAGGAGATTTTTTTTTTAAAATATCATCTACAACCAGATCCTTTTAATTTGGAAATACAAAAAGGTAAACAGAGTGCAGAAAGAAAATGTATTTGTTTCTTTCTTCTCCTTTTTCTTTCTGCACTGTTTTCTTTTGCTCTAGTGCTTCTCTTTTCTATCCTTTTTCTTTATTAGTTCCTGTTAGATTTTCTCTTTTAAAATTTAATATGATAAAAAAGATACAAAAAGATAAATGAAACTCTGTCACTAAATGTTCTACCACAGAACTGTAATCATTTCATAAAAGGGCACCATCCTGATGGTTATCTTCCAAAACTGTTTTCCCAAATCCTTTCTATGTACAACTCAATGCTTAAGTATTCCTCTGTGGTTAATGCAGACAACCGAGCCATCCCAAACGCCTAAGGCTTCGCCAGTTCAATTCCTCCCTAGTAGCAGATTTAATGTAAGCAAGCCTTGCTGTGAGGCCCTCATTAAACGCTTAGAACTGATGGAAAATAACTATTTTTACAGAAGAGCGGCTGCCCCAATAATTTTGAACCAACACTAAGGAACATGAAAAATGGACAGTAATACTGTACCCCGAAAATTACATTTCCAATTACCCCCTAAAACGTCCTCCTTGCCCTTATCTTTACTATTCTAAAGGAATCTGAATTAATTTCATTTCTGCTAAAACCGTCTTCCGGAAACGTAAAACAAAACCCCACCCCAGAAAAGAGAGCCACGATCTCCCTTCATCCGTCGCGGGTTGCAAACGGAAATCGTTGCTATCCGAGGTTATAAAGTATGTCCAGGACCCAAATTCATCCTTAAAAAACGCTGGCATCCAGTGTTTGTGGTGTTCAGCCTTACTCAATCCTCCCCCCCTTAATGACTACCTCAGCCGGGGGAGATGCAGCTCGCAAAAGGAAGCCCCGATTTTTCAGAGCCGTCAGATCGGTACTTTCTCCTCAAAACTTCCCAATTCCATGCTAATATTAGAAGCTTCACTTACGGACCACGCTGGTTTAGACAAAGGCCTCGGCCGGTCGCTTCTTCCTCTTTGCAACTACTCTTTCTGGGTTGCTAACTGGTTTCTGTGTAGTTTCTTTTTGCACGTGCTCGCCCCGTCACGCGCTTAACCCCCACCCCTACCGTCGTCCTCTTCCTCCGTGTCAACCCAGCCCAAAGCAAGGCCGGGTCCGCTCGGAAGGCGAAGCGCCCTCGCACACCCAGAAACAGACACACACTCGTTTCCTCTTGCTTCATCCACTCTTCGGGGTTGAAAGGCTGGAGCAAACCATTTGGCCGCTCTGGGAGGGGGGGGAAGAAGGAGCCGCTCTAACGTAACCGCGGCGTTCATCTGTCCCCGCCTACTGGGGAGCTCGAGCCTCGTTCGAAGACCAAACCTCGCACGCGCAAACGCACTCGGAACGGACCCGCCTGGCAGGTTCTAACTGCGACCCTCGCGCCTTCGTCCGTTCCCTACATTCTAAAAGTAACTCCCCCCAGTTCTATTGACTTCTACCAGTTCTACAGAGGCCACTTTTTTTTTTACACGCGATGCTCACGTGATAGACTCCGGCTTTTTTTTTTTTTAAGTGCCCATCGGAGTCAGCCTTTCCGCCGGATTTAGTTTTCCTTCCAAGTAAACGCGTAGGATGTGCTTGTCTTCCGGTGTCTTCGCAGCGTAGGCCTTTTCGGAGGGACCACAGTCGGGTTCCGAATAAACAGCCATAGAATTTCAGTCCAGTTCACCACAGGATCACTCGAAAACCGGTCCCACTAAACCGATATATTTGTCGCATCGGGTAGTACGGGCTGTAGGAATAGGCCAGTTTACATTAATTTGGGAATGCAGCCATTAAGTCCACTGAAATTACATCTGAGTAAATATATTGGATGTAATTAATTGAAATACAGGCCCGTTCGTTAGTAAGACTAAATTCCAGGAAAGGGGCCGCATGCTATATTTAATGTATTTACACAGGCCTGTATTAAAACTTATCGATCAAGTAGGGCAGAGGCAGCCTGGGCAACCTTCAAATAACAAGCAGAA